ATGGCGGATGGCGGGAGGTTTGGATCCAAAAATAGCGCGGCTCGCCAGCCGCTTTCCGCGTAAAGGGGTACACGCACCGCGGAATGTGAGCATTCCTGTTTCGACGGGGTACCGCGTAAACGTGGAAACGCGGAATGTGGGACCGCGTAAAGCGAGGGTTGACTGTGTGTATATATATATATATATATATATATATATATATATATATATATATATATATATATATATATATATATATATATATATATATATATATATATATACTGTATATATATATACAGTCAACCCTCACTTTACGCGGTCCCACATTCCGCGTTTCCACGTTTACGCGGTGCCCTGCCAGAACCCAGGATGCTCACATTCCGCGGTGGGTGTACCCCTTTACACGGGTGAAGTATAATTTTTTATAATTTAGCTCATAAAATTCATACAAATTATCCAGTCAGAATAAAATTTACATTGCTGGAATTCTTACAATTTGATGATCATTTTGAATATAAACATCATAGATTTTGCATTAGACATACAAATTTTAGATATAATGTTTACTCTTGAGTAAATATGTTATCTTTTGTGCAAAATATATGATATTTATATTCAAAATATTCCTGGTCTTTCAAGGAATCCAGCAATGTCAATTATATTATCCTAACTTTAGTCTGATTTATTATTTATTACTAAAAAGGTAAACAGTCTGGCATTCCGACACATTTATCTAGTAGGGACGTTGGTGGGGGGTGGGGGGGAGGGAGGGAGGGACCGTCGACCGACCATCTGTTACCGTGTGAAGAATATTTTTTTTTTATTAACTGAAGATTTTTATTTTAGCTCATAAAATTCATACAAATTACCCGGCCAGAATATAATTTACATTGCTGGAATTCTTACAATTTGATGATCATTTTGAATATAAACATCATATATTTTGCATTAGACATAAAATTTTTAGATAAAATGTTCACTCTGAGTAAGTATGTTATCTTTTGTGCAAAATATATGACGTTTATATTCAAAATATTCCTGGTCTTACAAGGAATCCAGCAATGTCAATTATATTATCCTAACTTTAATCTGAGGTATTATTTAATACAAAATGTTAAAATTTATTTTTTTCACCCAACATCTCTTGAAGGGAGGATTGGTGGGAGGTGGGGGGGAGGGTTGGGACTGACCGTGCGGTTGGAAGAGGGGGGGAGGCAAGGTGGGGTACTTTGATTGACAGATAGTGTCGTGAAGAATATTTTTTTTTTTAACTGAAGATATTTGTTTTAGCTCATAAAATTCATACAAATAACCCGGCCAGAATATAATTTACATTGCTGGAATTCTTACAATTTGGTGATCAATTTTAATATAAACATCATATATTTTGCATTAGACATACAAATTTTAGATAAAATGTTTAATCTGAGTAAATATGTTATCTTTTGTGAAAAATATATGACATTTATATTCAAAATATTCCTGGTCTTACAAGGAATCCAGCAATGTCAATTATATTATCCTAACTTTAGTTTGAGGTATTATTTATTACTATACCTGGTTTTTCCCCCAAAATTTCTCAGAGGGAAGAGCCAGCAGTGTAGTGTGAGAAGAGGGGGAGGGAGTCGTGTCCATTATTTGAATGGACATTAACTTGGCGACTGTATTTCTCTATTACTCTTAAGTATTAATTGTGTGCATGTACCATCATAAAATTAAGATGTTATTTTTACTACAACATTGTTATGTGTCGTCAAAAAGTGGAGTTTGGGGATCGGCCTGGACTCCATTTCAATTAATCCCATATGTTATGTTATTCACTTTCCGCGGTACCCTGTGGGTTACATTAACCGCGTAAAGTGAGGGTTGACTGTATATATATATATATATATATAGTAAATGTATATGTATGTATATATATATATATATATATATATATATATATATATATATATATATATATATATATATATATATATATATATATATATATATATATATATATATATACACACACACACACACACACACAGTCATGCACCGGTTAACGTCCAACCGAACAACGTCCAATCGCATATACGTCCATGCCCCCCCACCCAAAAAAGAAAACACTTCCGTGACGCCTGCTGGACCACCACTCCACGACCCCCTGACGGAGACACGATGATCCTCCCCATACTGGTCAGATATTAAGTGTTAAAGGAATATGCTTCTAAATTTAGGCTTTTCTAAGCATTTGCCTACAGGTAAAATGTTAACCTACATCTTTTAAGGATAAAATCTTTCACCTACAAATTGACAATAACACATTTGCTATAATCAGACATATGTAGTTGCCTCAACAATTGCAACCCCAGTTGCAATTGGGGTTGCAATTTCAAAATCTGTGGCATTACTAAAAATAGTAAAGTTTCTGGTGCACTCTAAGATTTAGAGAGAAAACGGAGGACTCAGGCGTCCTGATGTGACAGAAAACGGACTCGTATGACGGGGGACCAAATAAAAAAAGCATAGCTACATGTTTTGTGGACTACAGTATTAAGCGTACCCTTTTCATCACTTTGTAATAAACCTAGCCATGCCTATGTGTGTTTATGATATTTACCATAACATTATATATATATTTAGTGGGTCTAAATGGTCCCAAAATGGGAAACTTGGGGTTGGGTCTTGGGTGCCTGGAATCAATTAGAATAAATCCCATAGGTTCTGTACTTTCGTTATCGGCGGGGTCCCAATTAGGCGCGATAACCAAGGGATGACTGTATATACTTGTGACACTGGCCAGTTGCTTCTGGTGTTATGGTACAGGGGTACCAAGTGACAGCACTAGGATCCCGCTTCCTTTATCAAGGAATAAATAATTAAAATTTAAATTGAAAAAAAAAACATTCAAATAAATTACTATCTTACAAGAATCCCTCCAATGTACGTAATATTCACCCAGGTCGTTTGGGTGGAAAATTATGAGAAGAGCTTAGTCACTTTTAAGTAATGATAAATAAACACGCAGGCAGGCCTTCAGCGCCAACTGTCAAATCTTATCTCAAATAAATAAACAAACAAACGCCAGACATTCTGTCACCACACCTCCCGCCCCCTTCCCCCCCCTCCCCCTCCTCTTCCTACCACCCTCGTGTTCAAGATAAAAGATTGGTGATTTCTTTATGTTAATTTTATATAATATCTCAGACTAAAGTTACGATAATATAAATTGCATTGCTGAAATCCTTGCAAGACAGAGATTAATTTGAATATAAACATCATATATTTTGCTCAAGATATAAAAAATGTAGTACATTAGTGTACAATACTGTAGTACATTTTATAAAAAGTTTTTCAACTGTATTTTAGGGTAGATTTACATAAATTTCTTCATTTATTTTCACCCATTTACATTCACACACCATACTAAAATAAACGAAAAATAAATTTGTGCAAAGCTGGACTGCACATGAACTAATTTGATTACCGTACTAAAATTGTTATGTCTAGTGCGAATTACAACATGTTTATATTCAAATAAATCAGTATCTTACAAGGATCCCAGCTATGTTAATTATATTCTCCTAGGTCATATCACTGGCATTTTAAAATGAGAGAAGCTTAGTAGGACTGTTAAATAAACACACAGAGACCTTCACCTCAAACTTATCACCTCAACCCCCCCCCAACCCCCCACCCAACCCCTCACTGGGTGGCGGAGCTGTCGGTCCCCCCCACCCAGCCAGGCTTTTAGGCTTACAGTTTTTATCTTATATAATATCTCAGACTAAAGTTAGGAGATTATAATTTGCATTGCTGGAATCCTTGCAAGACAGCCAATAATTTGAATATATTTTGCTCAAGAGATAAAAATTGTTGTACATTAGTGTACAGTACTGTAGCAAATTTTATAAAAAAGTTTTTCAACTGTATTTTTGGGTAGATTTACATAGATTTCTTATTACAAAGCTGGAGTGCACATGTACTAATTTGATTACGGTACTAAAATTGTTTTGTCTAGTGCAAATTATAGCATGTTTATATTCAAATTAATCAGTATGTTACAAGAATCCCAGCTATGTTAATTATATTCACCCAGGTCATTTCACTGGCTTTTTATAAGAGAGAAGCTTAGTCACCTAAGAACTGATAAATATACAGCGTTAGACCTGGGCCTGTGCCAAGTGTCAAACGTAGTACCTCCCCTCACCCCACGCCCCCTCGCTCGCTCCCACCCTCTCTCTCCCCAATCTGCCCGTCGTTGCTGGAATCCTTGTAAAACAGTGAATAATTTGAATATAAACGTCATGTATTTTGCACGAGATAAAAATTAATCACCTGTATCACATTACAGTAGTGATTTAAGAGTAAAAGTGTATATGTACGTATATAGTATTCCACATACACGTAAGTATAAATAAAAAGTTTATGTGATGATCGGACAACGTCCATTTCGGTTAACGTCAACGTCACGTTTCCAAGAACGTATCTAGGATGTTAACCGGCGCATGACTGTATGTGTACATTTAATTACTAAATGTAAAAAAAGTAACACTTACCAGCACTGCAGGCAAAGAATAAAGCATCATAGTAGGAGACAGATGCTTGGTAGGTGACACAAAGGTATGGTAGGTGAAGCGGGTGGCCAAATATGCTGAGATTTTCCCAGTTAATTTGATATATCTCGGCATATCCCAAGTTATACTAATACATTCTGAAACCATATCCATGCTGAGTTATATGAAATTCTGAGTTATCAAATGCCGAGTTATTGAGGGCTTACTGTACTGTATATTGTTTTTGGCATATGATGTTAAGAATAAATTTTGTATAAGTTTCACACAAAGTACTCTTTTTATCTGCTTGTTCAAGGATCTTTGTTTCAAAGTTATAAATTTCTTTAAGCAATGGTATCTAATCCCCCAACCCCTTCTCCACCATGTGGGGTTGTTGAGGGTAGGGATTGTAAGCCTGTCTCCTTCACTGATGCATTATGGGCTGTCCTACTAACATGGGTTTCTCCAAATTTTCAGGACAATTGACTGGAATAAGGCTGTATACTGGCTTGATAGGGTAGTAAACACTGACACAGAAGATGAAGAAGGTAACTTTGATGGTACAATGGATGACCCACTGTACCAGCTGGTGGCTAAACAAGCAGCCATGTATTTGACTGGTGGCAAGGGCCTTGACAAGGATCCAGATAAATCAGGTAAGATCTCTAGTTGTTATACTGTTGCAACAATGCAGCATTAGCAATTTGTGTGCAGTACTGATTTGTCAGGGACAACCATTGCTTCTTCACCTCTTTTTTAAGGCTGGTGGTTTTATGGGGGGAGGGACTGTTCAATAAGTCAACCGTAGCTATATAATGAGAGCTATCTGGCTACTGGTCTTGACAGATGGAAGAATTTCAGGATAAATTTTTCATATGTTCTTTACTCCAAACATAATAAGTATCATAGAAATAAAATGTATTTTCCAGTTGCCACTAAAGTTCTCATTTACTGTACTGATGCTGTAATGGGGCTAACTTTTTAATGTTTAGTCTATTTTTATTTCTCCAACCTTCTTGGTTACATATCTTTTATTTTTTTATTTTCCAATACATTTTTTCAAAGTACTTACTGTATTTCTTTCAGTGTCTCTTATTTATTTATTTCCTCTTATTTAATTATATTCTCAGATTTACTTTGTTATATTCTGTTCTTTGGGTTAACCTGGGAGAGCCACATCCTTCTCTATTCTTACCCATTCGTGTACCGTAATTACTGTACTTACATCTCAGAGCTGCCACCACCCAGGTTTTATCTTTAGAATATAACATTAACAATGAACCTCTAAATTAAATTGGTAGCGTGGTATGCACAAGAGGTTGGGCACATGAGTTATCAAGTGTATTTTCAGGGATGGCAATTGTTAGAAGGAATGAGCAGTGATACACACATTTGACTGGATCATTATTTATTAAATGCAAGTCTGAATATGATGACACTTTGAACCTTAGGCTCAATTACTTCACTATAATTCTTACACCAAAATAGACCTGACCAATCGGTCGTAGTTTATAAGTAGCAAAAATATATCCTCAGTTATCATTTACAGTACTCAATAATTATAGCAAACAGGGATGTTATTACCTATAGCACTATGCTATTACTTAATTAACACACATGGAATCATACACCAGTACATATCAGCTGAGTACAGCTGGTTCACTCACATACATAACAAACTCTAATACAGTAGTACCTCGTTGAACCCACAGGGTACCGCAGAAAGTGAAAACCCCGTAAAGTGAACAACAGAACATATGGGATTAATTCCAATAGAGACCGGCCCGACCCCCAAACTCCACTTTTTCCGACACAGTACCTATGTTGTAGTAAAAATAACATCTAAATTTTATGATGGTATGCTCACACAATTAATATTTAAGAGAAATACAGACGCCAGGTTAATGTCCATTCAAATAATGGACTCAAATCCCCCCCCCCTCTTCCCAGCTCACTAGCTCCTACCTCTCTGAGAAATGTTTGGGTGAAACCACTAGATTATAACGTTTAGTAATAAATAATACCTCCGACTAAAGTTAGGATAATATAATTGACATTTCTGGATTCCTTGCAGGTCAGGGAATATTTTGAATGTAAACTTCATATATTTTGCACAAACGATAAAATATTTGCTTTGTGTAAACCAAATTATTACATTAGATCTAAAATTTGTATGTCTAATGCAAAATCCATGATGTTTATATTCAAAATGATCATCATATTGTAAGAATTCCAGCAATGTAAATTATATTCTGGCAGGGTAATTTGTATGAATTTTATGAGCTAAATAAAAAAAAAATAAAAAAAATTATACTTCACCGCGTAGATGCACCGCGGAAAGGGAAAGTGAAAGTCCGGTTCTGGCAAGAAATCTGAGAAATCACGGAAAGTGAAACCGTGTAAAGCTTTACACAGGGTAATACAGTACTGTACTGGTGATAGTAATATTTCTGGTCTCAGTACTCAACCTGGGACTATTGTATTTATTCCCGATAATCCGTCTACAATATTGCATACAAGAATCATTAGCACATAGTCAGGATGAGTACACCAGGCTTACATCCCTGGTATTCAAAACAAATGCTGTGTGGCTACACTCTAGAGCCACAGCAGGACTCGGTGCTTGAGAGCTCACTCGTTCTTGACTGGCTCCCTTGGCTCGTGACACACTCAGATCTTACTCTTGCTGTAGTAAAGACATTCCGCATAGAACATCTTGCCTGTAGGCTGCTACCGATTCTCAAGAGTGGCAACAACACATACAGTACAGTACCTGATAGACAAAGAAGAAGCATGAAGAAGTGATGAGTCAAAATACAAAATGTCACAATACACGTCTGACAAGGGAACAAATGGATCATTCAACACAGAAAGTGCCCAGTAATGTTACAGTATCATTTGATACATAAGACATTCAAATTCGTTAAAACAGGAAGACTGTTATACAATATTCATCAAACTTCAACCGAGTTAAATTCATTTAATATGGTGGTGTGCAACACGGTACGTACCTGATAGACAAGGAAGGAGCATCAAGAAGTGAGCCTTCGTCTCTCGTACTCAGTTTATATGTATACCATGATGGCACAACAAGAACTTACATACATATGCATTTAACTCAGTTGCGGTACACATTGGGGTATGAGAATCAGTGTCTTGGGTCACTTCAATTTCTTAAGGTTAATACTTACAATCTAATCAGTGTTTGAGTTTGCAATGCAATAATTAAATTACAAACAGTGCATAGGATGGCACTCGCACTTTGTGTAGATTCAGCAAACACCCCACAGAAACCCATTTATGCCCAGTTATTATATTTCAGGGCAGTAAGCAGTTGACAGGTCCCTCTCAAATAATTAATGATTTTCTTAAATACAATACTGACAATAATTTAAATACAGTCATAAGATGACTGTGAACCAAAGCAAGTCGACGTCTTGTAACGTCTCACTAGGTGGGAAAAGTAATCTCGCCTCTATTGCAAACTCTAACACTCGACTTACTTGACAATTTTACTAAATGTAAATACAATTGAAGCTTTCAACATCACTCACAATCTCACATCTAATTTAACTTCTAAAATAACACTTTTCCTCTTCGTTCTGTGACCACAACCAGGAGTGGTGCATCCTGAAATGTATGATAGAGAAACTGGATGTCTCAGTAGGGGGACTCTAGAAATAAATTATAGCTACATAGCTACATGTTTTATGGGCTATTGAGCTTAATATGAATCATCTGATTTTAAGTTAACTAACATGTATGACTGTGGTCAGTACAATGCATATAGTAAATTAAACATACAGTTGTACCCCACTTAACGCGGTCAATAGAACCCAGAGGGTCCCGTGTTAAGTGAAATCCGCGTTAAGTGAACAACAGAACATATGGGATTAATTCCAATAGAAACCGGCCCGACCCCCAAACTCCACTTTTTGAAGACACATAACTATGTTGTAGTAAAAATAACATCTTAATTTTATGATGGTACATGCACACAATTAATGCTTAAGAGAAATAGAGAAATACAGTCGCCAAGTTAATGTCCATTCAAATAATGGACTCAACTCCCTCCCCCTCTCACACTACACTGCCGGCTCTTCCCTCTCCGAGAAATTTTTGGGGGAAAACCACTAAATTTTAATAAATAATACCTCAAACTAAAGTTAGGATAATACAATTGACATTGCTGGATTCCTTGTTAGACCAGGAATATTTTGAATATAAATGTCATATATTTTGCACAAAAGATAACATAGTTACCCAGAGAAAAAATTTTATCTAAAATTTGTATGCCTAATGCAAAATATATGATGTTTATATTCAAAATGATCACCAAATTATAAGAATTCCAGCAATGTAAATTATATTCTGGCCGGGTAATTTGTATGAATTTTATGAGCTAAAACAGGCAGTCAGGCAGGGTGGCGGGTGGGGCAAATCTAAAAATAGCGTCTCGAGCCGGACACTCACCGCGTATATGTGGAAAAAATCCGTGTTAAGTGAAAGTTCAGCTCTGGCGAGGCACCGCGTATATGATAAAACGCGTTAAGTGAAACCGCGTTAGGCGGGGTAATACTGTATTTTTTATGGCATTTGTTTATTAAAATTCTTCACACTTTATGTCAAATTAAGTCTAAAAGATTAAAAAAGATGAAAAAATCCAATGTCCTCAAAACCAGCTTCAATGGCATTCTCTTTCTTACTTGGGATTCTGGACATAACAGTGCTTATCTAGACTGTTTCAAGGAAATCCATTGTTGTTATAATGTTATTACTGCACTTCAACAACTTATATTTTTCTTTTTTTTGTAGTTTGTATATTAGAGGAATAAAATAATTTTCCCACAACTTTATCAGTTTTATTACATGAATCAGTGCAACATAACCATCTCATGTCAATAGATGTGTTGGCATGTGTTATGCTTGTGTATGTGGGACCCACTTTCTCATTCATTGGTGATATAGTGAATCATGCTGCATACATACATACTGTACATAATAATAATAATGGTTGCTCCTCGTGTAACGAGGATGGCCGGCCCAAGGGCCACCTAGGCATGAATTTGTTTAAGGTGTAGAAGCTGTTGCCAACACAACAACCACACCCTGAGTTAACGAGCTGCATAACCCAGTGTCAAGGAATAGTCCGAGAAGACCAGACGACTCGCCAACTGCACTGGCTAACCATTACCCCGGAACACAATCCGCAAATTGATTAACATTCAGGTTCCCAATTACTGTTGGGTAGACAGAGGTAAATGGCATAAAGAAACTTGCCCATAGTTTCACCCTGCACGGGGATCGAACCCGGGGCTGCTCGCTTGCGAGGTGAGCATGGTGACCATTACACCACAGGATACAAACATACATACAGAGGGCTTTCATTATATGTCAGGGATGTGTTCCAGAGATATGGGACTTAGCCAAATGTTCTATTATGAGGCATTTTTCCCCATAAGAATTAATGTAATTTGGGGTACAGTAAAACCCCCTCGAAATCAAATTCACTCATAATTAGTAATGTTTTGCAGTTACAAAATATATATTAAAAATTTTGTAATGTTTGGAAAAATTTTGGATTATGAGGCATTTGTGAAGATATCTAATATATGATGCACATGTTGCCATTGGATGTGACTGGCTGCCTCAGTGC